CAGCAGTTCAGGATTCAGCTGTCAGTGAATGTTTCAGAAAACTTAAACATTCTACTTTCAAGAATAGATACATTATGTGTCTAATACATAACATTTTGTATCTATTCTTGAAAGTCAAAAGAAAAAAAAAAAAAAGCCAGTATAGCTTGAGAGAGATATATCTCGATCTATACGAGCTGTCAGAATGCCGGCAAAAGCCGACATGTGTGTCCGCTTTGCTGTGACTCTCAGACACCCGATATTAAGGTATCGGGTGTCTGAAAAAGGTTAACCCTTTCAGTAATGGATCTCTAGATAAATAGACATCCATTACTGAAAGGTAACCGCTGATTCTCAGCGGTTATCAGCCTTCTAGTGCAGCAAATAACTCGTCACGTACAGTGTACGTGACGAGTCATTTGGTCCCTTTGTGGCTGGACGTACAGTGTACGTCTCCCGTCACGAAGGGGTTAAGAGTGCTCATCAGAGCTAAAGGTGATTAAAAAATCATCCAATGAGATCACCTATCTGGGAAATTCGCCTTTGGAGCACTTTCTTCTCATTTCCTTTTAGTATTTTACCATAAATATCCTTTAAGAGTGGTCATCAGAGCTAAAGGTGATGGAAAATCATGCAACGGGATCACCTGTTCCGGGGAATTCCCCTCACTTTGGAGAGCTTTCGCCTCACTTCCTTTTGCGTCTCCGGGACATGAAATGAAGGAAATGCTTCCGATGGGAAAAATTCGGCAAAAAATAAAAAATAAACTGCCAGGGGTGTTAACCCTTCCCTACTCTGTCAATGACATAAAAAATAAGTTTTGGCTATGCAAACACTTTAAGCCTTGGGTAGCACTGCCCTTACAAAAACCTGATTCACTCTGCAACGTCAAGGGCTATAACACTGTACAGACAACGGAATATTGTTCCCTAACCTTCCTGCTTCTCACCGACCTCTGGTACAGCCCATCCATCACTGGAGTAATACATATATATTATTTTATAGTGTCTTCTTAGTCTATTAATTATACCATCTCTCGGTATACATTACACAGGCTCACATCAATCAAAAAGAATGGAAACGTCAAGGCACAGAAGAGAGCGTGTGGGCTACAAATCGAGAGATATCTGATAGATACAAATGAAGACTTCACTTCCCATAGCTTCTCATGGAGGGAATTTCAGTCACGCTTCAGCTGCCCTACACACCTCATGTATGGTCATATTGTTAAAGAAAACTGGTCAGCAACCTGGGCAAACCAGCCTGAGCATATGAGGAATAAAATGCATTAAGCAACTTAAAAAAAAAAAATCATCCTGCAAAAGTAGAGTAGAACGATGTCCTCCTACTGGAAAAAATAAATGTACTGCAGCACCTAACTGTAAGCGCAGACAATTTTACAGGTACCGTTAGTCTCCCTGCAATGTCCCCCAAATACCTGCTGGTCCTGCCACTGAAGTCCACCTAGTGCAGCTTCCTGTGATGGGGTGGCAACGATGTTGCACTGCTCCTGAAATCACAGCAGCATTGTCACCCACATGTAGGTTGTGCCTGCTTGCACCACAGTGTGAGATGTTGTTCCAGGAGGAGTGGCCGTCAGCATTGTCAATGCTGATTCACAAGCCTTTAGCTTATCAATTATGACCTAGTGACACCTAATCCCGCCCACTGCTTGCTGGATTGAAAGCACTGCCTCTGTTGCTGAAACCCTCCCACTGTGAGCTGTGGTGTCCGGGAGGGGGAGTGTGTGAGATGAATATTTAGGAAAATATGGCTCAGTTCAGGAAGGTAAGGGAAGCCATAAGGCAGGATTTGGGACTTGTTTAGACTGTCACACAGGAGCATTTCAATGTACTTTAATTGTTAGCTCCATGTTAAGCATGATGCCTATAAACAGTGTCGTCACAAGGGGGGTGCGGGGGTTAGCGGCCCACACCGGGGTGACACCATTGGAGGGGTGACACCAAAATGACTCAGTCATATTGGTGTCCCCCCCCCTCTGAAAAGTTGGGCACTCGGTCAAGGACTGAGAGCCTGACAGTTGCTCGAGAGAGAGAGAGAGGAGGGGAACCGGCGGCATACCTTATCCCAATGTGTGACGTCCCCTCCTCTCTCTGCCGGCGTCCATTACCAAGATGGCCGTCGTATAGTAACAGCGATACTGCGTGTGACGTCATTGCGCATGTGCGATGACGTTACTGCGGGGTGTCACCCGGCACCCGCACAGGGTGTCACCCCGCCTAGGGACGCTTCTGCTTATAAAAGCCATAGCGTTCAGGAGAATCTTACATCCTCCAGCAGCCCCCCTCCACCTCCCTTCCCTAACAATCCGCGATTACATCTGCTGGAGTTCTACTTTAACGTTCAACTAACTCTAACCACTGACTGTGTATTGAAACAAATTTATCTGACAGTAAAACTGACCATTTGGCAGAACCCAACAGCACAGAGATTACAGCCGCATCCCGCAGAAGCGAAATACGCCTTTTTTCCTTTTAATGGCTCCTGTATTATTAATTCCCTGCTACGTTCACCTCCTGGAAATCACTATCTATTCCGATCAATCAGGCATGATCAATCGATCCTTGTGCTCCCAGGCCGCCTTATTGATCCCATGTTCCTGAATTTAATGAAGCCAGCGGCGCGGCAGCAGTCTCGCTTTTATTGTGCAACTTTGCTTGGCTCTAATTGTTACTTTCTCGTTAAAATGAAACAAGAGAAAAGTTTGATAGTTTAATTAGAGCTCCTGATTGGGTTTTACTTGGTCCTGGTCTTACAAGTTCTAGAACTACTGAATGTGGCTGATGAAAGGAAAAGAGAGAGTGCCATGGCTCCTTGAGAAAGGAACAGAAAATGAGAAGATAAGGAGAGTGAGAAGCAGGTAGGGAGAGACAGTGAAAGCAAGAGGGAGCAAGCACACAGTGACAGTGAAGGCGAAGAGGGAGAAAGAAAGAGATAAGGAACAAAAAGGAAAGGGAATAGAGGAGGGGGGAGAGGAGGGAAAGAAGGAGATGTGGAGAGGGAATTACAGGGAGGAGAGAAAAGAGGAGAGGAAAGGGGGACAAGAGGAGAGAGGAAAGGAGGGAAAAGTGGAGAGGTGAAAAGAGAAGACAGGAGAAGAGAGAAAAGAGGTAGAAGAGAGGAGTTGGAGAGAGAAGGAAAGAGAAAGTGAAGAGGAGGGAAGAGAAGAAAGGAAAGGACGTAAGAGAGGAGTGGCAAGGAAGAAAGAAAGACAATGAAGGCTATGAAGAGAGGAGTGGAGAGAAAAGGAGTGAAGAAAGGAGGGAAGAAAGAACAAGAAAGGAGGGAAGAAATGAGGATAAAGAGGTAAGAAGAGCAGGGAGGAGAAAAGAGAAGGAAGGAGAAGAGAGGAAAAGAGGGAAGAAAGGATAGGAAGCGTGGGAGGAGAGGGATAGTGGGAGGAAAGGAGAGAGGAGAAAATTAAGGGAAGAGAGGGCAGAAGAAAAGAGGAAGAGGAAAGGAAGGAGGAAAGGGGAGAAGAGAGAAAAGGTAAAAACAAAGGGGAAGTGAGGAGGTAAGAGAGGAGAGGAAGGAAGAGAAGAGAAAAGATGAAGAAAGAGAGGAGGGATGGGAGGAGAAAAAAAAAGAGAAGAGAGGTGAAAGGAATAGGGATGAGAGGAAAAGTGGGAAGAGGGGAGACAGAGGAACAAAGGAGATAACAGGAGGAAACAGAGGATAAGAGAGAGAGAGAGAAGATGAAAGAAAGGGGGAGAAGAAAGAACAAGAGGGATGGAAGGAGAGAAGAGAAAAGGAGAGAGGGAATGAGGGAAGAGGAAAGGTGAAAGGAGAGGGGAAGAGAGGAAAGCAAAAAGAGGAGGGATGAGAGAAGAAAAGAAGAGGCATAAGAGAAAAAGGAGATGAGATGAAAGGAGGATTAGAGTAGAAAAGAGGAGAAAATGATGAAAGGTGCAAGAGTGGGTAAAAGAGGAGAGGAGGGATGAAAGGAGAAGAAAAGCAGGAAGAGGGGAGAAAAGAGTAGGAAAGAGAGGCGAGGAAGAAATAGGGGAGAAAGGGGAACAGAACATAAAAGAGTAGGGAAGAGAAGAGAAAAGAAGAAGAAAAAGAGGAAGTGAGGGAAGGGAGAAGTGTAGAGGTGAGAAGAGTGAAATGGGGGAACAGAGAAGAAAAGAAACAAGGAGAGGGGGGAAGACAGGAGAGAAGAGAATGGAGGAGAGGAGATAGAAGAGTGGAGAGGAAGGGAAGGGAGGAAGCAGAGAGTTAAGAGAAGGGGAGAGTGAGATGTAAAGAGCAGGTAAGGACAAAGAAGGAGAGAAATGAGGGAAGAAAGAGAGAAAAATTGAACAGACGCACACAATAGTTTCCTGAACATCACTTTTAACTGTCCGGACTCCATATACAGCGAGGAGAAAACTGAAAAGTGATGCGGAAACCTCTCTTGTAGTAAAGCCGGCTCTCCGAGTCTCTCATAGTGGGATAACGATAAAACACGCTGTGCCGCCCCAATAGGGGCATAGAATATGTTGTAGAAGTTAGTATAGATAGAAGTTTTACATAGTGTGTTTGCCTATATATTTTCTCATAGTTAATTCCATGTGTTATCCTATGCTGCCATCTAGTGGCCTTTTGTTGTAATGTACATGTTTTCTGTGATTCTTTGTGATGTCTACGATGTATTTCCTCTCTGTATGTAGCCCCACCCTTCTTCCTGTGTGCAGTACTTCCTGTGTCATGGCCACAGTTGAAAGCCACATGTAACAAGGACACACAGGTAATCTGCACAGTACGGAGGAAAGGCATCATTTTCTGACCGCACAATACTATAACCATTCATCTGCTGTTCCTATCATCTGCTGTAACCCTGATGTTAAAGAATAAACACCTCTTTTGAATGAATCGGTATTGACGAGTTCAGCTATCTGACGAGGATTGTCCGCAGTGAGTATATCTGCTTATACAGGCCAGGCATAGAGGTCTCAGCAAGGGATATATTTCGCTATCACAACAATCGGAGTCAGAATACACGCCGAGTTGGCCCTTACCGATCTTTTTGCTCTTCTCCTCGGTGCGGTTATGAGCGATGATGGGCGAGTATATAAATGGGCTCTTTGTAGACAATTTCTGGCCCAGCAGGTTTTTCACTTTCCGGGGTCGCAGGATAACTGGAAGGTTAAGAAGTTTCACAGACCTAAAAGTGAAGACAATCTGTCAGTAGTGTGTATACATGGAGGTATAATGAGTTGCATACAACATCTATTTATTATAAAAGCTTGCAGATTATCCACTAGAGTAGTGGTGGTCAGCTTTCAATGTATAGACTGCGGGCATAACTACAGGAGATGGTCAAAGAGTGGGAACATAACTACAGGAGATGGTCAGATACTGCAGGCATAACTACAAGAGATGGTCAGAGACTGCAGGCATAACTACCGGAGATGGTCAAAGAGTGGGAACATAACTACAGGAGATGGTCAGATACTGGAAACATAACTAGAAGAGATGGTCAGATACTGGAAAAATAACTAGAAGAGATGGTCAGATACTGGAAACATAACTAGAAGAGATGGTCAGATACTGGAAACATAACTAGAAGAGATGGTCAGATACTGGGTACATAAAAGGTTCAGTAACCTAAGTGATTTAGTTATGTGTGGTTGGTGTCCCAGGTTAAAATTTTACAGCAGTCTTCTAAACTGGAGAGCAGCACCCTTTAAAAACACACAACATACCCTGCCAAAGTTTAGCAAGAGCTATTCAGAAAGTGGAACCCGCTGAGAGAATCAGGCATCTCCTCCTCCCTTCATCTTTCTACTTTGTTGATGAGATGAAAGGGCGAATAGGGTGACAATTTCGCTGCGGCTGACGCTGCAGGCGGTGACCCCATTACCGTTGTTTTGCTGCAGGAGCAGATCAAAGTTCTGCCATCAAGGACAGGAAGGAAACCCGAACATTTATCATATGATTCACCGAAAAGTGTGGGGAAGATATGAGCAGCATTAACCCCAAAGAGAACAGAACACACATTATCTGCTGTGTGCTGGATGCCTGTAGAAGGACCTCAGACTCCCGCAGGACACAGAGGATTTATACGTTATACAACAAAGCTTGGGGGAGAGATTTAATCAAGTATACGGGGGAATCATACAATGTTCCTTAAAAATAGTCTACTTGTATCTTGTCTCTAAAGAAACAGATAGATGGATGGATGGATAGATAGATAGATAGATAGATAGATAGATAGATATTGATTAGAGAAGACACAGAAAGTTTGGAGTTAGCTAAGACACTATTGGCTGACCTAAGTTATTATTAAAGATGCTAGCTTCTAAGACCGCTTAGATCCCTTTAGCTTTATTCAAATCCAAACTTTCTGCATTAATCAATATCTATCTATCTATCTATCTATCTATCTATCTATCTATCTATCTATCATCAGCCAGATCTGAACCCAGGGCCTCTGCTGTAGTTGGCAGTGGTTCTACCTGCTGAGCCACCTTAGAACCCTGGATAGCTCCTTGCATGATCTCCTGTGTAATCCTCTGTGAAACCTAGTTTCTGCTGAACTCTGAACTCCTTGCTCCTCCCTTGAGCTTCCTATCTAAGCCACGCCTCTGCACTTCCTGTTTGCCAGATTATTGTGCTCCTGCCAATATCTTGCTTCCTTTCTCCTACTCTGATACAATCACCTCATACTGCTATCCGTGAAAAGACCTTCGGCTGCTGATTCACCAACTACTCATTGTCTTCTGCTTCATACCTGATATCTTCTGCTTGTGTACCGAACTCAGCCTGTTATACAATGAATTGCCTGCTGCTTCAGCTACTGGACTCCGAGCCTGATCCCAGATCGAGACACTATCTATCTATCTATCTATCTATCTATCTGCTTCCCAATTGAACCAGGATGGAGTTCACTATAAAGCCTGTAGCAAGGATAGACTGGAGCTAGAAACATCCGCATATCTTGGAAGCAATGAGGGAAGCCAACCAATCTCTAGCTCCATTCTAGCATTGTTCAAGCCCTGAAGAAGAGGGAGGCCTTTCCACACCTCAGGCTTTATCTGATATTCCTTAAAGATAAATATTTTAAATGAATCATCGAGCGAAATGAACGTTTGTGCTAGGCGCTCCTAACCACACATCCATGAACCACTCAGGTGCCAGGGGGTCTGCAGCAGGTGTTAACCCTTGGGTTTATATGGCTGAAGTGTAAAGTGTTGTCAGATTACCAGGGTGGAGACATTAATGTGACATTATGCGTGAGTGACAGATGCTGTCAAAGGCAACCATGCTAATTCTTTGGCTTTTTTGCCACTTATTCAGAGCAAGAAACCCGATCAAGAGTTCTGGCATTGATAGATGCATACTCGCAGAATGCATCTATCAATGCCAGAACTCTTGATCGGTTTTCATGTTCTGAATAAGTGGAAAAAAAGCCAGAGAATCAGCATGGTTGCCTTTGACAGTCACAATGCACTACAGCAAGAGGATTAGCATGGCAGGCAGAGCAAAGGCACCCTAGGTATATCAGTATTGGCTTCCTTGACCAAGTGGGAACATACCAGCCATAACAGCTGTGATGCCGGCTCATGGGTTTAGCCTCTGTGAGAGCAATATACATAAGTTACCGGAAGGGGGAGGTGGAGTGAAAAGCCATCGCCGGTGGAACAAAGCAGCAGAACATTCGCAGTCTAATTTATTTAGAAACATTTCAATGATCAGCTTAGTGTCCAAAAGATTCCCATACCTCACAATGGGCAGCTTGGTGAAGGGCACAGGGGGCAGCGTTAAACCCTCTGGTAGCTGGATGGGCTCCATGGTGCCAGCACATTTTGAGGTATAGCTCTCCAGGCTCTGCGCAACATCTTTCTTCTCTGAAAAAAAATACATAAAAGTCAGAAAAATGACAACCTAACCAACCCTAATGAGGACCAAAACAAGGAGGACAAATGCATGCCAACGTGACCACGTAGAGTGAACTTATAGTACATCTCTAACCCAAACTTTTTATTTTGCTTCGTATAGAGCGAAGGAAGAGTGATCCTAACTCTCTGGCTGCAGTGCACTGTGGTGACACACGATATGTGACTTAGCACATTCCAGTGCCATAGATTATCAATGGCACCCCAGAGCACCACACCAAGGCAAATGCTTTGCCGAGCCATACAACACATGGTATCAAACTACCGTGTGTTGTGGTGCACTGTGGTGCTAAAAGTAGTTTCTTGGTAAGCTGTGGTGCACTGCCATCCGATTCATTTGAATGGGCTATCTAACAGCAACACTTTTAAATGTGATTCAGCAGAACAGTATGAAACCAGACTCGGCAGATCATCTGTGACCAACACTGGAATGAGCCTGGACCAGAATTTGTTCCCAGTATAGCCAAGTATGCCATTCCTTTCATTACTCTATATTCATTCATCCTAGAAATACTGCTAATATAACTTTATAAACTTCAAGTGCAAAACTAAATCATATACTGTATGAGATATATTACAATTTGTTTTTCAATTTTAAATGTGAGCCAAAAAAGTAGCCGGAATAAAAGGTTTCATCCAACCAAGATTTATACATTTCTTGCATTCCCTTTAGAAACTGTATTCTGGAGCCCATAGAGATTAAAGGCTTGCCAAGACCAGATGCAGACACTTTAGTCAGAGTGTATAGTGGCGAGTTGCTTCACCTCTAGCAGCTGCCTTTCCCATAATGCAAGTATGCCTTCCTGTCTGCGTCTGAGTACGGACACCAGCACCCACATGGATGTGCAGCTCGGGTGAGCGTACGACAGCGTACGGCCGCATCCTCCTATAGAGAAGAACAAGCTGCTGCGTACAATCACACGCAGCACCTGTCCTTCCGGGAAACGGCCCAATTCGGCTGTGCACGCCGCACGTACCTGTACGGCCGACTCTAAGCTGTGTGAATGAGGCCTAACACTGCTAAGTCTCTTATACCCAGATATTGGAGGACAACTCGAATACCCTCAATATCCGACTGGTTTATAACATTAGACTCTACTAGACTTCTAGAAGAATTGTTGTATTCTAGTCGGGATGATTATGCCTCTTTCTATAACATCTGGGCAAGCTGGTTGAACTTAAAGGCCTCAGATTCATACTGTGTTAACGTATCCATCCAATGAGTTTTCATTTACTTTTAAATTGTATCATAATATGTGATACATCTTATAGTTCTCACTTATTTAATGGGTAACATCCATGTACTTTATGATTTAAATAAGTTCAAACTAGGGATGCACCGATATATTGGCCGCCGAAACATATCGGCCGAAAATGGCACTTTTGGCATAATGCCGAAAGTGACATTTTCTGGCCGATACAGCGGTGCATCCATCCTATTCTGTCCTCCCTGATGGGCGCTGCTCTGTGTCCCAGCGGGGAGGAGAGAAACTGTCACAGGCGGCCCGAGCGCTGCGGGAGGACAGCCTCCTGTGACAGTGAGTCAGGATGGAGAGCGGGTACAAGCAGTCAGTGATCAGTGATCGCTGACTGTTTGTAGATAATTGAGGACAGAGTATGGTTACTATATCCTCAATTATGAATGAATAGGAAGTGATCTAAATCCCCTCCTGTTCATTCATGATTGTGATTATAGTAAACACACTCTCTTCTCATGTTATGAATGAGCAGGAACACTCAGTATAGATGATTGCTGTTCATTCAGTGCTGGGGCTGCAGAAAAAGACAATGAGGACTCTGTGTCCTCAATCGCTTTTTCTATTTTTAAAGGGAAATATCAGGGGTCTGTAAAAAATTGAAATATTTAATAAAAAATGAATAAATAAAAAATATAAAAAATGTATAAGTTTATAAAAAAATAAATAAAATATTAAAAAAGTTAGAAAAAAGTTAAAATAAAAAACATTTTTGGGTTTGGCCTGACATTTTTTTTTATTTCTGTTTCCTTTCGGTTTTGACATTTTCACTTTGGTGCACCTCTAGTTCAAATACCATAACCAGAGTTTGTCTTTGTCATTCGCCTGTCGAATTGTCTTCCTTCCTTCCTTTTGTTCCAATCCTTAATATTTTTCTTATACAGGTGGTCCCCGGGTTACAAACAAAATAGTTTCTACAGGTTTGTTCTTAAGTTGAATTTGTATGTAAGTTGGAACAGGTAAATTTTTAAGTGCAACTCCAGCCCCCCACATTTTTTTTTAGTTTTTAATAGCATAGGGAAGGGTTAACCCCTGTAACGTTTGTTTTGCTGTGTGTGCCAATGTTCAGAAGATTTCACCTCACTTTCTGTCCCTGTGACAAGTGGATTTTGAAAACTGGAAACAAGGATTGATGATAAAGCTTCAGTGGAGACACTTTTTCCCATGATAACTCTTACAGGAGTGAATTCCCCTTCCTAGGGGTAGATTTCCTCTCACTTCCTGTTGTCTCAAGGATAGGAAGTGAGATTAAATCTTTCTGAGGATACAGAAAGCAGTAAAAACCTCACAGTGACCCGGGAGAAGAAGAGGTGGGCACCCCTCGTCTGCATGTCCAACTTCCTGTAATGTACGTGTAGTACTACGAACCAGACCCAAAAAGGCGGGCACTCCTCGTTGGCACGAGTGCGGTAGCATTACAACGACTGAAATGCTGCGCGGTACACTTTGGCTGCAGCCTGGGACCCCAGCAATAGGCTCCTATCACGTACCTGGTGAAGGACCGATTAGCTGAGGAGGCCTCCCTTGCAGCTCTTGTCTCACCCTGGATGTGGAAACAGGGAGCGGGTAGACAGAGAGAAGCACGGGTGCCAAAGTGTTCAGACACGATGCCTGGTAGAAGTCCAGCAACTGGATCCCTGGAAGGATGAGCAGGGCAGGTGCACAACTGTGATGTCAGCGAGGTTTGCAGCAGAAACTGGGGCGAGGTCAAACAAGCCAGGGGTCAAGCCAGACGGTCAGCACGGTACTGAAGGAGCAGGCAGAGGCAGAGTCCAGATAACAAGCAGAGGTCAGGGGCAGGCAGCAATCAGTCGAAGTCAGCAGCAATCCGGGTCTAGGTAACAGGCAACAGATCAGCAGGAACACAAGCACAAGCTAAAAAGACCGTTCAGCACTGACCCATTGGGCCAGCTGGTTTAAATAGGAACATCTATTAGAGGGTCGTGAGTCATTTCCTGTGTGCCACTGTGTCACTTCCTGTGTGCAACATTCCGTTGTGAGCGCATGCGTGCTAACACATCTTTTTCCACAACCCGGAAGACTGGGACCAGCACATGCGTAGTAGCGCGCAAGCTCCCGGGTATGGCCTTACACCTCCGCTTGTAAGTAGGTGTCGTATGTAAGTCGGATGTTTGTAACTCGGGGACTGCCTCTATTATTGGACATGAGTGTTCTTATGTCACACATGCCCTTTTCAATAATTGTTCAATAATCTTTGAATATCTTTATGTGATTCCTGTTATGTTTATCCGTTTAAATTAATAAAACTTAAATAAAACAAACTATATTTTAGGATAAAAGGTGGAACTTTTTTTTTATTTTAACAAATTAAACTTTTGTTGTATAACTGTCAAAATGATATCGGTAGATGTCAGTAATTTTTCTTAAAAAGCCCACTTTTGTATAGTTTTGCTTGGAATTTCCTCTCCAGTCCAAGCGGTTGCGGCGAAGCAGCAGCTGCAATGTTGACACGCAGCGATTTTCCGCCAGCCGCGTCCACCTTTTTTGTGTTCGGCTCAGCAGAAATTAATCACCCTCTTCGTATGTATTTAAGGGAACAAAGGTTAAATGGAGAGTGGACTCCGCGGAGACGGCGGCCCGGGCGCCATGCGGGGTGCGGGCTTTCGGCTCGCTCTTCTGGCTGAGGGATTTTCACTAAATATAGCTGTTTAATTAGAGTAATGAAGTCTCATTTATCTCGGCTGTCTCACGTAGACAACCCGGCACACAGAGGACATGGAGCGCGGCTCGCCAGAGAAAAGGCGTCGCTCTTCAGGTATTGTAAAGGAATCATTTCAATTACAGCAAATTGGTTCCATTGGATTTCAAGCTGCTATTGTTACCCTTTGTTAAAATTAACTTAATAATTGTTATTTGTATAAAGGGGTGCACAGATTTAACACACACAGGTCACTGCCAGAGGTGTGTCATCTAGCAATCGGAAGACAATTTTATATAGCTCTTCATATCTCTCAAATCACCAGACTCATATTCTCTTCCTTGCCACTCACTATAGTTACATAGTATTTGAGGTTGAATAAAGACATAAGTCCATCAAGTCCAACCTATTGTGTGTGTGTATGATACACTGATACACGAATGATACATTGTAACCCCAGGAAGAGAAAGATACAGGCAGCCTAGCAGGCAGAGAGTCGCAATGTGGTTCAGGTTAAATGCAGCCTGTTCACTCTGAGTTTGGCCAACACGGACCCACTGGCTTTCTTTGTGCAGCCCACTGCATTTTGGATACTTTGCATACTGGCAGTGGGATGCGAGGTGCTGGGACGCTCTCTGTATTCTCGCACCTGGCACTACAATGAAGCCAGTGCTGAGAGGCAGAGTGATCTCCACTCAAGAGTAGAGGTACAGTCTTAGCCCAAAATCATAAGAAAGCTGTATGGGAATGTGTGATCTGATAAGAAAACACTGAGTGGGGTTAAATAATAGCACTACCCCTGACCACTAATGTTGGGGTTATTATTACTGTGGTCACTGAAACTAATGCTGGGGGTTGCCATGCAGCGACTGACTTCATTGGCTGGTGGTTATTACTGAGGCGACTAACACCAATGCTGGGGGTTATTATTGTGTTCACTGATACCAATGCTGGGGGTTATTATTGCAGTCACTTACACCAATGCTGGGGGTTATTATTGGGATCACTGACACCAATGCTGGGGATTATTATTGGGT